TGGTAATAAGGGTTGGGAGACTAACTTCCTTAGGCCTCTTGAAAATTTGAGCCATGCTTTTGCCGGTGTTCTCATCTTTAGTATTTTGTACCTCTTCTCTACACCATTCCCATTTGTCTGTCTCTCTACCTGTGTCCTTATCCTGCATAGTGAGCCCTTTGGGGCACGGGATCTCCATATTTGACTCCTTTGTACAGCCCCCACCTCAATGGGGACCCTATTCCTGACGTGAGCTTGACGAAGGAGGCACTGTGTGACCATTTACAAGCCATTCAGCTGAACTGAGAGGGGGGAGAGTTTTATTTTGGCTGAGAATCGTCTCCAACGTCATCCCCTCTGACAGGGAGATGCAGTTACAACGATTTTGTGCCACAGAAATGCAGCCATCTCTGTGGTGGAACAAAGACCACAGCTCCAGCTCTTCGGCAGGTTTCCCAGGATAGAAAAAGGGCTAGATTTTTTTTTTAATTACCCCTAAAATGGTGATGTTATTCTACAAAGCATTAAAAGAGGTTAGGCTGCATGTGGCTAACCTCTTTTGAAAGGTACAGTACTGCATTTGATGTATTTTTAGTATACCCCAATTTTGAAAGGCGATTTTGTAGAACTGTCTTGCTTTATCGATGTCTAATAGATACTCTCATAGGAAGATTCCTTTTGACTCGAATAGGCTGTAGATTGGCCTGTTGTTAAGGAAGGGCAGATTATTGAGTAGTAAATAATGTATTTTGTAAACATTTAAGTACCTTTTCTGTTTTTCTTTAGTATCATTAACTTTTTTTCTTTTCACCACCATAAAAACACCACATAGGGAGAGCCAGCCCAGTACAAGTGATGCCAAATTCTGTTCAGGATAATGGAGTACAAAGCTCCACCTTAGCAGCTCTAGTCATTTTTAAAGACAGCTTTGAGAATACTCCAGATTAATTTAACGATTCATGCATTCCCATGATTGACAGCACAGCAAGAAGAAAAACTCCAGCTTCGCATATGCTTAGACAGCTTGACCTAGATTTTAGCCTCTACGACTGCAGAAGAGGAAGCATTCTTGATTATGCTTTTAATGAAAGAAATAAGTAGTGTTGTGGGCAGAAGCCATCATCTGTTTGATTAGTCTTTCTTTGATAATTAAGATTTAGTCCATGCTCACTGCAATATTTTTTCCCCCTCACTGTCATCAAATGCTGCAAGCCCTGTTACAAATCACTACCTCATTTCTAGTTGGGTCTTGAGTCTTCTCTTCTCTCCATAATTATCACTGCATGGATTGCTCACTTAAGTGACTTGGCTATCTAGCCATGCCATGAATGAAAGAGCTCCCACATTGCCAGAAACAATGGCCTGGTATGTCACATACACACATTTCTCATTTTCCATGGCTGCATCAGGAGCCTTTGACTGTTCTTATCATCAGCGGTTGCTCTCAGCTGAAACTTTGACCTTTGTAGTATTTGAAATCAATTAGAGGAAAGATGAGTTTCATAGAAAATGTCCTTTTCTTTCCTTTTCCCTTGGAGACAGGACCAGGAACAGTTTTAACACTTTGGCCAGCATAAGTGATCAGAAAACAGTGTATACCTGTAACCGAACAGTTTGGCACACAAAACTGGTCCATACCCATACCAGAGCAGAAGTTCAGCACGCACAGACTGGTTTGAAATGGCAGAACCTGGTCTAAGATTAGCACCCCCCGCATCAAGGGGAAAACGCGTGTTCTGTTCGCTGCCAACCTAAACTGTGCCACTTAGAGAGAACCACGTAACTTCGATGGATTCTGCTTCAGGCTTTCTGAATGTCTGTATCTAGCCACGGATTCGGAGCTGATATAAAATTGTCCTAATTTAATTAAATGCACTGCAGCTGTGAAAGTTTAGCTCACATAATATCTTTAAATTATTTTAGGGGCAGCTGCAATAGAGGCATTTCAGCCAATCTTCCCCCATGTAGGATGGCTGTGAATTCCTGGGCAATCGCATTTTAAGGTGTTTCTCAAGCGGACAGGCTTTATTCCAATGTACTTTCCAAGTTATTGTAATAGAGGGAGGGGGAAAGGTGTTTCCAAATGGAATGAATGAATACGTGAAGAGTGCCAAAGTCGGTCGTAAAGGTGGTTAGTTACTGTTGGCATCATCTCTTGGGAAGTTGGTAGACATGGATTTGCAATGTTGAAAATAATTGAAAACATCTAAACAGAAACAGCAACATTTTCGGCTTTAGAAGCTGAATTATCAATTTGGACCGGTTTTTTAAATTTAAAATCGTTCTGTGTACCACTTGAATTTTAACTGTACCATGGAAAGTGATTGTGAAAAAAAATCCTTGTTATTTATATGTTGACATGTATACGTTTGGAGTAATAAATATTACTTTCTGCTCGGGTCAGCTTTTCCGAACCAACACATGTAGGAGCTTGGGATTCGTTTCTGGATCCTGCCTGTTGGGTTGAATGATAATTCAAGGGGGAGATCCAAAGCTCACCAAAATCAATAGAAAGGCTTTTAGTGGGCCCATCTAAGCAAGCCCTGCATTGCAATTGCTGGATGAATCCATTCATTTTGAATTATTTCCCTAGTTATTGAAGTGCAACTCCACTAAACATCCCCTGGCTGTAACATAAGAATAGTGGGATAACATTTGTCCCAAGGAATCTATTTTACCAGTAATGATGGGAAAACCGGTGAGATCACCATTTCCTTTCAAATCCCAGGCTGAGTTGGCAAGGCTGGCAGCTTTAAAATATCCCTACACATAAGCTTAATGACATTGGCTCAATTGTTTTTTTGGAGGGAGACTCCAGCTGGAAATCATTGATGCCTGCTAAATCCAGACTCTCACCTTCAGAAAGTCACATAGCAGCACAAACCTGCACTTTCGCATATGACAAGGATGGCATTGTGGACTGTGGCCGGTGGGTATATACAAGACAAAATACAAATCGGTGGCATCTTGTCGTATGAGGGTCCAGAGAGAGAGCACAGTCTTTGCAATGTGATGGTCTGACCCCTGCCTTGGTTGTGGTAGAATATGAAGGGCATGGTAGAGATTAGAGATGCAGCTGAGGGCAACTCAACTGACTGTTTTGGGAGTATGATTTACAGCTAATGATTAGTGATACGTTGACCTACACAGTATAACTGAGCCATATAAAGCAGCACAGAGGGAGGAAAGGTCTGGCAGATGGACAAAGATATATAAGGAAAATGATTGATGCTAGTTCGTCAATGTAAGGAAGCAATTTTTGCTGTTTTAAACCAAGCCATAATGGACTTAACGTTAAGCAGAATATTCTTCCATAAAAAATAATAGCAATAGAAATAAATGCAAGTGTCACTTCAAGTGAAAGTTTCTCCTTTGTTTTCTCTGAAGAAGGCAGCCAGCTGGCACAGGCAATAGCTACATTTTCCTCTGTGTTTACGTGGGAGGGTAGGCTTCTTTGGGTTACTCAGGAGGACTTGAGCTATACTGAGAATATTGTGGGATCTTCTTTTGTTCTTTTAATGGCCATGAGGAATTATGTTATTAAAATGCGGTATCCGCTTTCTTTTCCTGTCTATAACTACTTGATTCTATGTTTTTTTTCAAGTTTGTATTATAAATGGCAATGAAAATGATCATGGTGAGCAAGCTTCAAGTATTGTTCTATTGCTTAGTTGTGCTTAGTTTAAGTGACCCCAATATAATTAATTCTGATGTACTACAATTTGCAAATTAAAGTCTTCTATTTACCAAGCCTAGATTTGAAGGCACTTGAGAGAGGCTTGAATAAACAAATGACAAATGATTAAGTGGTAATAAACACCGTTAAAAAGACTAGGATTTGATCTTCCAGCAAATGGATGACTTCAGCAATGGCTTTGTATGTTCATTTCTTTCTAAATGAATGCGTCGAAGAGCAAAAAAAGGAAGTTAATATTTTTGGTATTAAAATGTGTACTAGAAAGGGAGAAAAAGCTCCTTCATTTTATAAACATGTGTCAGATCTTCAGGTGGTGTAAATCAGTGCAGCTTCAGAAAAGTGAATAGGCCTGCTCAGATTTGCACTGTCTGAAATCTGGTCCATGGGTAATATCCATCCCTTATGTAATTATCCTGAAGTCAGTGGAATTACATAGGGAATGAATTTGCTCCAATGTACTTATTTTAGACACTGGTTTACTGTGCCCTTGCAGACTCGTGTTGATCACAATCCACTGATGTGCAACCAATTGCTGGGTTGGGGCTTACTCTTTTGCCAATAATAAGGAAGACTATAATGGAAGAGGTCATGCAATGCAATAGTAAATTGCATGCATGTTTGGTTTTGATTTGAAGCTGAAGTATTAAACCTAAAGGGAGTAGAAAACCAGTTAAGTTTTTACCAAACAACAACAATATGATATCCACAGGCCTCCTGTTACTACTTCTTCATGTTTCTATTAAACTTGATTGCACTTCATAACATATTGTAGCTGTTTCCTATTGTATAATACATAGCCATGCAACCTAATTAGCGCCAAATAAAAAGCCTTGCAGCGGTGCTTTGAAAATAAAACTGTATATGGAGTGGATTATGCCACATCTAATTCTTATTTTTGTGTAACAAATGATTAGAAAAGGTGAGTAGAGGAGTTTAGGTGGTAAATTAGGATCAGGTGCCAACATGCATTTTCCTCAAGTTGAGAATTGCAGAATTCGAAATGGGTTTATTGGGTCAAGCAGTTCAGGTGAAAATTCTTGGATTACTTATTAAAGAATTAGCATCGTTGAAATAGAAAGCAGTAAAATGATAGGGAGAAAATGTCCTTGACTAATAGCTTATATGTGTTGCTTGTACATCAAAATGAAAACACGTCTATGAAAACCTTTAATTATGGTCAATTGCCATGCATTTTTCACGCCGGTTTTAAAAAAGTAAAGGCTCTTTTCTTTCTGGCTGATTGATTTGCATTTCACAGGCTGCCTCTCACTCTGTTGAAAAGTATCTTTCTCTAATATTTCTTTTATTATTGTTTTTCTTTCAGTTGACGGCTGCATTGACTGGTCAGTGGATCTCAAGACGTACATGGCTTTGGCAGGTGAACCAGTCCGAGTGAAATGTGCCCTTTTCTACAGCTATATCAGAACTAATTATAGTATGGCCCAAAGCACAGGTCTTAGGCTTATGTGGTACAAAAACAAAGGAGATTTAGAAGAACCTATTATATTTTCTGAAGTTAGGATGAGCAAAGATGAAGATTCAATATGGTTTCATTCGGTTGAGTTGCAAGACAGTGGTTTCTACACATGTGTTTTAAGGTGGGTATCATGTTAACATATACCTAAGAATTTCTTTAGTTTGCCTTGTTTAAGGAAATGTTTAAATTAAGCTATCTCAAAATATTAATTAAATGGTTTTGCCAGTTAATATGTGCTCATTATCTTTCTTTTCCTGAATACATTTCAGATTGCTGCTTTGTTTTGCCATTTAATTTTCCAAGTAATTATTATTACCCGTTCCATTAGCTGTAATAGAGCATGTGCTGTTCCTTCCTTTTAACGACCTTTTCCCAAGGATTTGTAACTTGTATTTCTAACTTATTCGTTTCTGAGGGCATAAACCAAAATCATTGTTCAGATCAAATAAAGCATTGGCAAATCAAGACCAAATCCCAGCAGACAACAAGAGTTAATTATAAAGAGTGATTTTGCGACCTCGCTTGATCAAGCATCAATTTAATTTTTGTAATGATCTAAGAGCTCAAATCCTGGTCTAAATGATACTAACACTGAGGGGTGGGAGCCATCAAGTATGGATTTTTAGGTCCAGGGGCACCATGCCTATTAAGACCTCAATACAACAATCCATTCCTAGATAGTAATACTTTAAGCCCATGCTTAACTTTAAGCACACTCAGAGTTCCAGTTGACTTAAGTGTTTAAGTGCCTTGCTGAATCTAGGTGTTTGTGTGTGTGTGTTTTCTATCTATCTATCTATCTATCTATCTATCTATCTATCTATCTATCTATCTAGTGTGTGTTTTTCCAATCTGTCTATCTATCTAGATAGATAGATAGATTGGAAAAACACACACTAGATAGGTGGACTGGAAAAATGCACATATTCAGCCTTGAAATAGTATGTTGCTTATAAAAATGGCTATGGTTTGACATTCAAACGGTAGGGGGCACAAACAAATGGAATTGTCTGTGGTCAGGGCAGTAGCGTGTCCATGTCTGTTCTGTGTGTATCACTGTTTCTATATCTCTGATGATATACAGATCATTTCCAAGACAAAATATTCTATTTTTGTTCAAACATAATAAAAACAATTCTCCCTCATCCCTTGATGAAGGATTGGAGATTTCAAAGAAATGGAATTTATCCATTTTTCCATAGGAAAAAAATCTCAGTTTTCTTTTAACTACCCCCCACCCCCCCCAAAAGGACAACTCAGCTAACATTTCATTAAAAAACTGATATTTGGAAGAAGATAATGTTGAACAAATCTGAGTAACCTAAGGCAAAAATAATGAGTAGGATGCTCTAATTTCTAAACCTACAAATGTAGTACATTCAGTCTGATGCAGCTCACTATATAAAAGACCTATTCTTAATACATTTTAATTAATAAATTATTGTACTGTTTAGTTAACAAAAAATGCATCTTTTACACAGCAAGCAAGTGCTGCCTCTTCATTGGTACCAGTGTGGTTTTAAAGCTGCTTTACATGTAAAATCTTCAGTGTGAGGCGACGCGCAGCATCTCACTAATATAAAATATAACTGAAACCAGGGAGGATGAAATCAGTGTTACCATGAAGCTTACAGGAAAGATGCATGCCAGAGGTTCCTTCCAACCCACAGGATTCTTCGAGTTGTTCATCACTGAGACTGATGTATGTAACTTCTTGAGCTGTTAAATTGCGTTCTTCACTTGGAGAGCTGCACAACTACATCATTCCTAGACTAGCTTTTCTCATCTTTTTTAAAGGCTGAGCAGGTGACTCTGCATTAAATGGAAAAAATATTTTGAGATTCATCCTGCACCATAAAGAAGGAAGAGGGCAACTGCAACCCAACCTTCCATATCTGATTGCAAATGCCAGGAACTGTTTAATAGCATGGTGAAACAGTAGCTGTATGCTGTATAATAATATTAAATTTCAAAATATCCAACCTCTTCCTACCCAAGAAAAAGAAAGCACTAAGGCACAAACAATGAGCTAGATCCAACAAAACTCTTGCTCACATGAACAGTCCCCTTAAATCTATGCAATTGAGTAAAAGTTTGCTGGATCCAGACTCAAAATAGCTAAAACCAAAGCTCAGGCAATGGACTTTTCCTGAAGAATTTGTAATCATTCCAATAAGCTTAATTTTTTTGAGGTAGCTGAATGCTGGGGAAAATGAAAATTTATGGGGAAGGATAATCCTCATTGTGAGGGGTTCAGATTTAAATGTTGAAGCAAGTTCAACTGAATCACACGATACTCTGGCTAAGAACAAAAGTGCATTTGCAGTGAAGAGGAGTCAGTGTCTATCAATTCACATTTGCACTAAAGATGATTTAGAAATGTTATGTCCTCTTTTGAAATATCTGTAATGGTAATTCTTGAGCCGTATCCCCACCCCCAAAATATGTGATATTACTCTTCCTTCAGCACCTATTTAGTCCAGCTTGTTGATTACGGAAGGATGAAATTCGGTTGTTCACCAAAAAAGCCAAGTTGGACTTCTTTCGGAAGACAGGAATTTTTTGTGGGTAGAGTAGGTGCTCTACTTGAGTACAGGTGTAACTCCACCTGAGATGTGTAGGCATGCGAGCGTTGGATTGTCCTGAATGTCCATGGGTGAAATCACCAAGGAGCAATTCTTTTTTTTATTGGCTGTGCATTAGCATTGTGGATACTCTTGCACGATATTGGAGTACTTACACTTGTGGCAGAATAACAGCAATGGGCAGAGCCCAGAAACTGGAACCACTCCTGCAAGTCAGAACCTCCCAACTCTATGGCAGTGGCAGTAATCGGTGTGGATTTCATAGTAAAATCCAAACACTTCTGTTGTGGCTGAGGCTCCATTGTTGTTAGTGCCAAAGGAACATAGCCTTGTACCTGCAAGGACACCGCTGCAATTTGTGCAGTTCTCCCTGCTTCAGCAGAGCCAATAGGTAAGAGAATACTCTGGAGGGCTTGTCTTCTAAAGGACACAAAGACGGTTAAAGTATATTCACTTAAGAGAAAACTGTGTTGTATTTACAAAGGTAGGTTCAATTCTACAAGGTAGCAGCCACCTTGACGTCTTTTATAATAAATACTTTTCAGGAACAATTACATATAGTTGCCATTTAACAAGTGCAAACTGATCAGTTGCAAACTGGGCATGTGTAGACGAAACGGGGGCCCTAAATTGAAGCGGTGGGTTTTAAAAAAAACACGGCTTCAATTTAGGGTTGATTAAACCTCCGTGTTGTGCGCACACACCCTGCTGACTTACCTGCCTCTCCAATGGGGAGGGGAGAGTGAGCTGCCGGTGGGCAGAGTGACCCCTGGGCTGCTGGGGGGCTGGTGCTTCTCTCTGCCACAGCAGCCCCCCCCCCCCGGCAGGCACCCAGCTCTGGTGGTCCTGGGAGCACAGCAGCCATGGAGGAAAGCACCAGGCTCCCACACAGCTCAGGCAGGCTTGGGGCCGAGAGGCGGAAAAAATCAGGCTCAACGCTTTTGTTGGGCAGAGCCTGCCTTCCCAGGCTGCTGCCAGGCTGCCTGCAGGGCTTCCTCCAGCACCGCAGAGCTGCACAGAGCCTGGTGCTTTGCTCTATGACTGTAGGGGCAGCAAACTAAAACACCTTGGAGGAGTTTTAGTTTGCTGCACCCCAAGTCATGTAAGTCGCATTACACCACTGAATTTCCTACAGTGCCTGGAATTAATGCGCAATGTGCCACCGAGATGTGCAAACACCAACACCATTAAAGCAATGCAAAAGCATTTGGCCCACTTTAAAGTGTCATGCACACACACCCCTCATTTCGTCTACACACAGCCGTAAAGTCATGTACTATTGGAGGTATAGTGTGAACTATGGTTTCACTGATACTTTTTAGCAAATGCAGAATTGTTAATGTCACTACTGTCCTTAATATAACATAAATATAACAGCCATTTTTGTCAGTTGGATACTATGTGCTTTGTTTGTGAAAAGTTTTGGAAAGACAAATTACATATTTTTACCCAAGCATACATTTTCAAGCTTTGTTGTGGTAGCAAAGCCACCTTACCTTTAGAAATATTCACAAACATCTAGGCTCAATGAAGATATGATCTTGAGATCCAGTTCTGAAACACGTTTTTATTTCAGATGTTTGAAAACATTTTGCTCATTTACATGACAAAGTAGTTTTGGTAACAAACGGGCAATATCTTAAATAATAAATATGTTCTCCAGATAAAGACTGTAGGACAAGCTTTTTGCAAAGTATTACACAGCAATAATGTCTTGTGTCAGTTCTACAATTTTGCTGTTTAGGCTAAAACTTTCTTTTATATAATTAGAGATCTTTCTTCCCTATTTTCAGATTTCTGTGGAAGTGTTGTTTCACAGTGCTGTGTATAGTAATTACACATAAAAGACCACATTTCTTGCTTGAATGAATTTATCATTTCCTCCAAAAATATGGTAACTTATCCTTGCTTTTATTGTTTATAAAATTATAGGTGGTTTAAAATAGCTGAGGAAATTGCAATAGTAATTTTTTTTCATTTCAGTGAAATTTGGTTCGATGTAACGTTCTGAAATATAATCACTCCTTTTGTGGTGGACTATCCACACCATTAAATGTGTTATTTTAGATCTGTTAATCCAAAATCTTTAAAAAGGGGGGTTTTTTGTAAGCAAATGTTTGCATTTCACAGTCATTCACCAGGATCACCTGCATTGCAAGAGTTGGAATGTCATGGCTTATTACAGTAATTCTAGAAATGATTTCGTAAAAACATTTATAAATTCAATTACAAGTATTTTCTTTTGTAAGCTTACTGTATGTAGGATAGGAAAGATGGCTCAACACAGGGTATGTATAGAGCTGAATATGCCCGGCATCTTATAACATAAAGGTTAGGCGTGTGTGCATGAATAATTGATTTGTCAATTTAGCACCTGAATTAAAAGGTCATCACTTCCTTGGTTTGAGTGAACCAAGTTTAAATTTGTTTGTGGCTTCCCGCCCCCCTGCCCCAACCCCGTAACAGTGATAAAAGCTAAATGTTATTAAATCCAAAACAGGGTAGGGTAGACTGATAAAAGAGGGGCTGGTAGGGA